TTATTTTATCGGTTAGACAATTCTCGTAAAAGAATATTTTCTCATTAAAAATTGAGCCTAGAATTCTTATTTTGTCAGTGTTACTCATTCTCTTCTAATTTGTATGTCCTAACCTTAACATATCTATTGCTCATATCAATATTAGAGTTAAAACTGCGACGTCGACTACGGCTTCTCCTCATCCTAGGTTCAGTTATCAAGCGAACATGATATGGTGGATGATTTTTTCGAAACCCCATTTATATTTTGAATTCTCATGCTCTCCGTGATTTCCCTGTGTGATTGTGGTTTGTTCAACGTCGACCAACATCCGAAAGTTGTCATATTGTCCTACCGGCAAATGGAATGGCCTTCTAATCGAAGCCTTGGGTATAAAGAAATTAATGGCAGCTTGGCCTTTTTCCACGCGAGTATTGGCACCCGATGCCTTCTCTGTTCATTCATGGGTTTGACTTTCTTTGGTTCTACTTTTAGGGAAGGAGAATATAATCACATTCTCTCGTAATCTATTAAATCAACAAGAAATTTTCCCAACTGGTTTTATTTGTCTTAGTCTAGGAAGGTTCATCTCTAACCTCTTGGAAGACATTTGTTATCTCATGTATTATGAAGTTTGTTCCAGCATTGAGTTCAATTTGAAGTTTACACCAACTGTGCTCGTGCCCTTTTTTTTTTTTATGATGAAGTGCCTTTTTAATGCATATTATTTTCAGAAATATCGCTATTATAGGAATGTAGCAATCCTTCTCAAATAATAAGTATGAAGCCAATGGAAAATGTTCAGGACGGGTCTGAACACAATGCACGTTCACTAATCCCTCGCTCCTCAATCTTGGACAATTGGGGATAAAGGTCGGCTTGGTTTCCCTCTCCATTGTGCTGCAAGGTATCATCAACTATCAACCACCTGCGTCATCGCTTACATAAAGTGTTAATGCTCACCAATTAGAATTAAGTCTAGCATAATCTCAATAAAAGGTATTTATGTTTAATAGTCAACCATATTTCAAATATGATGGTGGTATCTAACAAGAAGATCCACGTATACAATTAAAAAAAAAATCCTCTCTGTCTAACACGCAAGAGTCAAACAATGAAAAGTAAACATTATTTAATTAAAACAGTTATAAAAATAGTTAAGAAAGTGGAAACAGAAGTGAGCTTAGTATTCATCGCTGGGCCCGTATGATGCTAATATTTGCTTTTACAATCATTAATGTTTATGTTTATGGAATGCATCACAAGAGTAGGTGTGGCGAAGTGGTAGGCTGGCTTTAGCATTCAAAGTCAAATCCAACATTCAACCACTCTTGTTGATACATGTGGTTCGTTCAATCCATTGCAGGGTTAGTTGAGCTTCTTTTTAAGCTTTAAAAAAAGAAACATTATTCTCGTTGATTGAATTCATGCGCTTATATATATATATATATATGCACTCCTTCTTGTCTGTTACTTAAATTAATCTGGAGTTAAAATCCCTCGACCGTCTGCACTAATTTTTTTTTATAGTAATATATTTTTTACCAGAATAAATTTTTATAAGGTTGATTGAACATAGATGGCCACACAAACTTTGTGATAAAATAATTTTTTTGTACAAATGCACCCCTTTTTAAAAAATATTTCCCAGGCAATGGAAACCAAGAATCAACGCAGCTTATGGAGGAATATTTTACAAAGGTGTTGCTTTCAATAAAAAGAATTATGCGTCTCGAATTCAAGTTCATATAAAATATTTTTGGAAACTTGCTTCATAATGTTTAAATATAACGCAGTTAAATAGCTACGTAAAAAAAATTTTACAAAATAATGAAAGTAAATAAATAACGCCATTTTTTACACTGAATGCTCGTGTTGTTTATATACCAATTTCAAAAAAAAAAAACGACGGTTTATCCAAGACTTCTGGAGTGATTAAATAAAAATAAGCATTAATGTTGACAAATCAATGAATTTTTCTTATTGATTAATAAATATTTTTTTCTAAATTTAAAAGTAAATGTTAAAGCTTTCGTGTTTATTTTATAAAAGTACGTGCATTTTTTGTTACAAGTTTAAAATAAAAAAGTGTTCGCGGTCATGAGAAAGAATCGAGGAGTTACAATGAGGGCAAGTGCTCCCCCCTGTGCGTAATTAAAGGTGGTTTAAATTATAAGGTGTATGGTCATAATATGAAATAATATTTTATTTTTATCTTCATAATATTAAGAATTTTCTTGCTACTCGAGCAACGCATACCGAACTTCCCTTTAATTGATAATGAAACATTGGGTCAAAAATCAAATTAGCCTCCAAACTGTAAAGCTAGGAATGCCTCAGACAAAAACTTTAAATTTATTTTTTATATAATATTTTTTTAATTTTCAATAACGATATATTTTGGCCCATTTTGTTAACAAAAGTTAAGTTTCATCGTTGTTTATCTAGAAAATAGGAGCAGGACAAGGGGTCACAGGCTTACAGTCCCTCCTAGTTTTTAAAATTTTTTAATAAAATATAAGAGATATATTTTTAACTTACTTAAATTAGCACACTATAAAATTTTTAAGCCATTATATGAAATTTTTATTTCAATTTTATATGTAGTTCTTTGTGCATGTATCGTATAACTATTTCAATAGCTAGAATATATAATTGCAATAAAATTTATTTATTTTCAATAAAACAATGATAAGCATTGATATTATTTAATTTTTTTTTATTTTGATTAAAAAACTTATGACATTTATTTCTAACAAACTTTGCCAAATATTGAAATAAAAATTTTAGAATATATTAAATGTTCTGTATTTCATATCTACCATAAATCATTTGTCTAAAAGTTAAGAGATTATGATTAAGATATTTTTTAATAAAATATATATCATTTTTTGTAATAACTAAGCTATTAAAATTTATAATGTAAATAATTTTTATTTTGATATAATTTGATCTCATTGGCAAAAAGATTTTGTGATGATTGAACATCACTACTGCTATATTTATTTATTATGACTAAATTAAAAAAATTAAATAATAAATTTAATAAGTAAGTAATAGGGTTTACTAAATTGAATAGAACTTTAAATTATAATAATGTATTTAAATTATTTAATACTCATTGGAAAAGATAAAATTGTTACTAATTTAATAATAGTTTATATTAAGAAATAAATTGTTAAAAAGCTTATCATAAGCATGAATATTAATATTAAATATTTTTATAACATTAAAAATCAATGAGAAAAATATAAAAAATGAAAGTATATATTTATTTTTATTATATATTTATAAAATTAAATATAAATATATATGTTATATTCATGATATATATATATTTAAATTTCTTTCAGTTATCACATACTTTATGTTTTGTAATCTTAATCTCTTTTATTAAAAGTTTCTAGCTCCACCCCTACTAGAAAGAACAGAAAAGGATTTCAAAAATTATAAAAAAAATACCAATAATTTTTTTATTCTTTTATATAATTTTTATATCCTTGACTATAGTTTTTGGATTCTTTAATATAATTTTTTAGTTATTTTCTATAATTTTTAAAATTTTTTATTATTTTTTAATCAAGTCAACATTAATTTTTGTTAATGACAAATAACAGATTGCACCATTTTCATAAGTCAAAGGAAAATATTGAAAAAAAAAAAGAATTTACAATTTCAAATGCTTCTAAACATATAATTTAAAAATTAATTTACTCTTTTATTCTAAAATATTAAAATATTTTTGAACAAATAAAACAATCTAATAATTTTTTAAAAAATTTTTGTAAAAATTATCTGAATCACTTTATATAAAGCACTTGAGTGAGTATGATTTTATCTTCATTCAATTGTCAGACTTAAGAGATTATAGAAAATATCTTATACATAGGTAGGGAGTGCGTGCATTATATTGTTTATACAACAATTCAACAATTGCAATCGAATTAAATTGTATCGTCCATCATGAAGAGTTGTGATTTGACATCTATGTTCTAGAGAATAAACCCATTGACAGTACACCATAAAATAATACCACAATACCATAATACATGATACAACGATACAATAACAGTGAATATAAAAGTCAACAACCAAAGCACTTCTCAGATGAAAATCGAACAATGCATGGCAGTACCATTCAAGCCTTCCATGTGATCTTTTTTTATTCTCCTACACAATGAATGAGATAATAAATTCAAAATAAACACATAATTAGTCCACCGCTAGTCAAAAAAACCCAAAAAAAACGAATATATTCCACGCCCCCTCCCCCCGGTTTTTTTTCTCTGTTGTTTTTTTCCTTCTCCAAGCCATATATATTTGTTTACAGGGCCAATATCCACCACAAATGAAAATTTCAACAGGTTCTTTTTTTATCCACAAAAAAAAAAAAGAATCAACAGGTTTTTTCTAATTCAATGAGCTTAAGAACATTATATCAATATCATTAAGCATTAGGCTTCAAACCAACTTTATAATTCAAAAGACTCCTTTCTAATATGCGTACAAATTATCTATTAATAACGTATTTACATCTATAATAGAAATCACTCTCACACCTTTTAAAAATATAAATTGTATATCCTTATCAGCTTAATCAACTTTCATTAGATTTTAATTTAATTAAGGATTATATTTTGTTTTAAATTTAATATCAAACCTAAAATTTTTAGTTGAATATTTTAATTTATAGTGTTAAAAAGGAAGAAACTTTAGTATTGTCATAAGAATTAATGGTCAAATATAATAAAATAAAATAAAAAACAAAAGCGGACATAAGATAAGATTGAAATCAATAAAAGTTACTTGGCAACAACAATCAATAAACGTTACACAATACAAAAGAAAAAATTACATTAAAATTAATAAATCAGCAAAGTGAAACTAAATAAAATTAAAGTATCAAAATATATCTAAAACATAATTAAAAATCTAAGTTGAATCTCAATCAAGGAATGGCAGTGAGAGTTGAAGTATTTACCCCACACAAAAAAAAAAAGTAAAATTGAAGGACGAATAGATTTTGGCATATTATCTTTTATTATATGTGTGAAATGTAAAAATACATGAACATTACACGAGATTGATCATAAATTGGGTGCATTTTGCGATTGGCCACGCATGACGCACCAACCCTACTTGCCACAGGCTATTGCAAGGTTGTTTGTTATTGATGATCCCACAAGATTGGGATGAAATTCAAAGGAGGCGCCTGCAAATACTGAGGCCATCACCAAGGGAAGCAAACGCAAGTTCCAGACGAGAATCCTCTGCGATCGCTTTGTTGAAATCAATTGCGTGCTTTCTCCATTCTCTTTTCTGCTCTGGAACTTCCTCTTCCGGCATCGCTACACTCCCACCCCAAAGCGTGTTATCGTACGCAATTATCCCACCGATCCTCACCAATTTCATCAGCCTCTCGTGGTAATTCCAATAATTGTTCTTGTCTGCATCCACGAACGCGAAGTCAAAGCTTCCTTGGTTTGCAGGCTGCACAATCGATCACATCCAATCAATCCACGAATACGGATCTATTTTTCTGTGACAGATAAGTAAATTAAGAGATACGCGGCACATGTACAGGAGAGCGTGTGCTTACATCTTCTAGGAGTTTATCCAAAATTGGCAGAGCCGGGGACTCCAGGAACTCAATCTTGTGTTCCACACCGGCCTTTTTTATGAATGGAAGCCCAATTTCATAAAAATCTCTGGCTGGATCCAACGCTATTACCTACAATTAATCGATTTAGGCACAAACAATAGCAATCACATGACACAGAGAAATAACGTAAGCGGACCTTTCCATCATCGGGAATGTTCAGCGCAGTGAGGAGAAGGGAGTAGCCTGTAAACACTCCGACTTCAATCGTCTTTTTTGCGTTCATGAGCTTCAAGAGCAAGGCTATGAGCTGACCCACGTCAGGGGAAGCGGCGATGAAGTGCCTGAAATTAGGGCATTGAAAATTGAAATTCGATGAAATTGAAGTGATGAAATGAAGGACGGAAGGAAGAAGAAAAGGAGCAGTGGAAATTACAGTGGGTGGTTGTTGGTGGCATTCCTCAACTCTCGGAGAGGCTCCGGCTCGCGCGGGTAAACGCTGCTCTCCAGAATATACTGTGTCACGAGACATGATAATCATCGGGTGAAGAAGAAAGGAAGAAATTAAAGAAATTAAGTTGAAATAAAGAATGAAAAATGGTGAGGAAATGATTGAACACACCTTCAGTAATCCATCACTCCTCAATATTGTCTGGTTGGGGATATGGACTGGCTTGCCTCCGTTGTCCATTGCGCTGCAGGGTATCAACTACAACAACCTACATCATCATTTATACATATTACAGAGTCCTCTCAGTCTGACACGGAAGTGTGAAAGGATGAAAAGCAACCTTTTTTTTTCCCTCTTTACAATGACTCAGGAATTGAAAGTTTTAACGGCATTAGTTGTTTAGTGCTATGTAATAATTAAACGAATCGAACATGGAGGGAGGGAAAAAAAGATCCAAAGTTTTGAGAGCATGTTTGGTTACCCTTTTTTTTTTTTTTCAATAACAGTTTTTTGTAAAGATAAAAAAAAAATTATTTTAAAATGAAAAACTGAAAAAAAATAATATCTTTTAACTATTTTGTTACTTTTTGCTATACAAAATTATAGACAAGGAAAAAAAAAATTATGCTTTGATTAATGATAATTATGTCATTAAAATAAATTATTCATTCTCTCTTTATTTCATCAATTAGATATATTTTTTAGAATAATGATTTAAACAGATTTTTTTATTTTTATTTTTAAAACATTCTGAAAAAACTATTTTATAGAATTGCTTTAAAGAAAAATAGCAACTAAGGACCTCTATATGAAATTTATATCAATCAAAAATTAATTATTATCAAAATTTAAATGGACATTTATTGATTTATATTATTTTTTATCAACAACTATCTATTTATATTTTAACAATAACTTATTTAAAATAACAACAATTCATTCAAGTTTTGACAATAACTAATTTTTAATTAATATAAATTTTATATAGAGGTTCTTAATTGTTATTTTTTCTTGTTTTAAGAACATAAAAACAGAAAGAAGAACCAAACAAGCCTTAAATGATTGCTCATAAATCTTGATAAATAAATGGTATAGATATTGTTAAGTAATACTCCTTAGCTCCCTATTATAAAGAACATTTAAAAAAAATTTGGTCCTTAATAAAGTACATAAAAGATTATTTATCATTATTTTCCAATTTTAGCCTTATTATAATTTTAATTTTATGGCTTATCTTATAGTGTGCATATCTCTATTCCTATTTTAATAGGAATAAAGTTAAAAATTAATTTTAATTTAAAACATATTTAATGAGCTAGCTATTATTGTTTATTTTTAGTAAAATAGTTGAAAGTATCTTATAACAGAAGAGATTAATTTGTTGTGTCATTTATAAATTATTTATTTTCAATATTTTCAACATGTTCCATCAAAAATTCAAAAAAAATTAAATCTTATTATTCTTGGAAACCATTTAAACTAAAGAATCACTGTTAACTCATTAAATGTCTTAAAATGAAAAAAAAATTATTAAATATACCTTTATTGTAATAAAAAGAGAAATATACACAATACACGATAAACCATAAAATTAAGTTACAAAAAAATAACATTAAAAATGATAATAAATAATTTTTTATGTGTTTTATATTAAAAATTATTTTTTTTATAAAAGATGTCTTCAAGGATAGATGCAAAAGCTTTTGTGAGAATTTTAACAAAAACCCTTGATCATATTTATTTAATTTAAAATTTTTAAAATTTTATTATTGTTTAAGGATACTGATTTGATATTAAATTTTTTAAAAATAATAAAAAATTTATCATTTAAATTAATATTAAAACTTTCTTATTTCACTTATTTATTATCCTATTTCACTTATTACTTTACTTACAGAATGTTTTTCATTACTCTATTTAACTTATTTTTATTTTAAGTATTTAAATCAACTTAAAATAACTTATTGATTCCTATACTTTATGTTATTTATTTATTTACAGATTATTGTTCATTTTTATACTTTACTTGTTTATTGTCAAACTTTTACTTAATTTAATTTTAGAGAAATAAATAAGTGAAATAAAATAATGAACAATTAAAATATGAAAGTTATGATATTAATTTAAATAAGAGCTAATTTTATTATTATTTTAAAAAATTTTATATTAAATTAATATTTTAAACTGCAGTAAAATTTTAAAAATTTAAAAATTTTAAATTTAAATAAATATGGTTAAAAATTTTTTATTAAAATTTCCCTAAAGTTTTCTTATTGAAAGAATATAATACATCGTGGAATTGTAGGGACAAGGGAGTACTTGTAGGCCACCAGCCTCACTGCCTGTGTGCCCTTTGGATACTTTTATTCCGTGGCGTCACATGAAAATACTTCTTTAATCTTTAATATAGAGTGAAGTTACGCACTTATTAAAAAAAAATATTAGTTATAATTTTAAAAGTATAACAAATATATAATTTTTAAATTTTACCTTTCTTCACAAATAATAACTAAAATATTATTGTTTAAAAATTCAAATAATAATAAATAAATAAGGAATAAAATTAAAAAAATGAACGACTCTAATTTTATCTTATATTAAGAATAAAAAAAATTTTAAATTTTGTCTTACCAGAGGGAGTATTGTGAAGAGATGATGACTAATAGATACCAGACTCATATAGAGGCAAAGGGAGAAATTTTCAATATTTCATCTTATTTTATTTATAAGTTATGTTTAATATTTTTATCAAAATAAAAAAATTAAATTTAATTAATTATGTCTAAACATTAATAAATTTTTAACTTTACTTTATTAAATATATATAATTTAAAAAATACCTGATAAAAATTGATAAAATAATTATTGAAATACTCTATAAACACAATTAAAATAAATACTCTCTCTTAAATAAATTGGAGGAGAGGAGTATTCAGTTTGAAATTTTTGACCACATAAAAGACAAGCCAAAATTCAATAATGGTGGGCTATCTTTTTGAAATTTTCAAGTTGTTAGCCCAAAAAAAAAAAACAAAGAAAGAAATTTTCAAGTTGGCTGACGTTTATCAGCGCCGGCGTTCAAGCTTGAGATATTTATGTTGCTCTAGAGTCTAGAGTCAGTTTTTTCAGGGGGCGACGATAATTTTTATATAAATGATTGAAAATAGATAGCCACTCTAATATACTACTCTTTTTTTTAATACAAAATCATGAATAATCATATAAAATTAAGTTAAATTAAAATATATTAGAGTGTGATATTTAAGTGGAGGATCTTTAAAAATTGAAATGTCAATATTGTCATTCAAAATTTAAAGAGCCAGCCAATCAATGTAATTATTAAATTTTTTAAATATATAATTAAAGTTGATGACCCAATCCCTTATGATAAAGGCTTTTATTTTGTTTATAGTTTTGTTGAGGGAGTGGTTGGGATTGTGATAAGGTTAAATAAGCGATAAAGTTTCAATGAAGTTAGAATAAATATTGACGTAGATAAATTTATAATTTCAACAAAGAAAAGGACTTTCAAGGATGGTGAGAAACTCAGTAGTAATGCTGAAATAACGATCAAAATATTTAATAAAACTTTTTATTCAATTACCTCTATCATCATGGATAAAGCTATCATATGTAGCAGGTATAATATAGGGAGAGTGTGTTTGAGTGGGTTATCCTTGCCTACGGAGATGGATTAGGTTAGGTGTGAAAAAAAATAGAAGAAATAAAACAAAACGTCAATTTCGCTAAAATTCTCATTGGTCCAGAAGGCCACAAAGGAGAAATATCCGTTTGTTAATAATAATAAAAAAAGGCCAGAAGAGAAAACATGTTTCTAGGATTGTGATTTGTCTTTGGGTAAAAAAAAAAAAAAAAAGGATTGTAGGTTGTCGACAGTAAATTTTCAGTCTCAAATTTAACTAAATTCTTATCTTGCGCGCTAACTATGTTGTGATTCAAAGCTTGTGCACCAATGGAAGTTATAGTTTCATTTAAAAAATCTGAATGGGAAATTAAACAAAATTAAAAATTATTTTAAATGTAAAAATGATTTTTATATTTTTATTTGAAAAATAAAAAACTGTTGAATACTAATTACCAAAAAAAAACTTAGAGAATATTGGCCCAATAGCTGTGAAAAATAGAATTTCTAAAAATTATGGACAAGATTTTCAAATATTTAAAATATGATCTATTTACAAAATTAATTGGAGATGATTTTCTCTTCTTTTTTTTTTTTCACAGAACAAATGTATAAAACACATGATAATAACTTCCGCGTGAATTGAGCTAGGAATGTACCCGTGTAACTAAATGATTTTAAAGTTTAACTAAATTATTTAAGCTTCAATTAACTGAATCAATTCCTTGCATGCACGACCATCTTATTTTTCTCCTTTCACAGTCATTTCTTTCCTTTCTCATTCCATAAGAATCATTGTCAAATATTTCTTAACAACATTATCCAATGCTTGCAGGATTGATTATCAGATTCTGGTTTTTGAAAGTTAAACAGTCGGCCGAGATATATTATCTATCATTCATCATTTTCATATTTCTTAATAATATCTTTACTAAATAGTTGTTCATTTGTTCATAATCTTTAACTTTTTGTCATTAATTATGAAACTTTATTTGAATTATTACCTGAAAACACAATTTATTCTCATATCGGTCATGATTTTTTTTAATTTAGGTATTTGATTCTTTGTAATAAACTAAGAGTGTAGAATTTTTGTGTGAACTATGTTTGATCCGTTTTGAATAATTAATTATGTATTTTTTGTATTACTAATATGCAATACTATATTATTGATATACTATTGTATATCAATGATAAATAAGTTTATGTTTGATTGTCTGGCTATATTGATTTACGATTGTATATCAGTAATATACTATTGTAAGTCACTGATATATAAGACATATCAATGAAAACTTACTAACACTATTTTATCTTATAATTATAGGGATGCTTAATCTTATCATTTCTTATGATGGAAAATGAGATTTGAACAACTGTTATGTTGATTATTCATACCTTGAAGTGTTTGTGAAAAATTTTTGTTTCACAAATTTACTAATGATAAGACTTGTTGCTAGTCTATGATCACCACACACAATATCAATAACATAAGTATGATCTCTAACATACTATCTAATGACCCAAACCCAAATAGAAAAAATCATTGAGACCTGCTCATACCATTTACAACCATCAGCACTACAAGTAACAAGCCTTTGACCATTTGATTTGAGAGCCTTATATTCAAAATTCATCTTTATACCTAAGAATTGTAAAACTTGTG